CGCTTTGTCCATATTTCTGGTACATCGAGCGCCCGACGCTTTTTTTACAATAATACTAGTATTTTCCATTTATTATTGTTTTAAGCTTATTTGAATAAAAGCCTGTTAAAAAAAATTATTTTTAACTATTTAGTTTAATATGCTCTAAAAGAGTGTTTTTTTAGCTTTTTTAACTATATTTATTGGGATTATATAAAATTAGTGTTGATAATTGGTACAGTGCCGGTAATTGGTACATTTACCTTATACAAGCAATGAGTTTTAAAGTTATCGAAACCAATAAAGCTTTCAGTGCATGATGTAGTATGTTAAAATTCACAGCCGATTGCCCCAAAAGCTGAATGTTACTTTCCACTATATTATCATGATTATCAGAATTGCCACTGTCCTCGTAATCTATAAAATCAAAATTGTTTTCGTCTCTAATTTAATTATCAATGGCCTTAGTAGATATTTGAGTAGAGTATTATCCTGGTGTGACGAAGAAGGAAGTTGGATCGTATTTAAACCCAATTTCTTATTATTTGACTACTTTTATTTAGGCGCCTATTATATGCACCCGTGATATTTTACCGGTTAGCACAGTATTTTTCTCCACAACTCTGTTCAGTCCACAAAAAGGATTTGAGTTTAGCAATATTTAGTGATTTTTTTTATTTTATTGCCATATAAAATCCGGATTAGTGCCAATATATGACTTCAAAGCATAGTTTTTAAAAAGCATTAAATGAGGCATTTATGCATGCAATAATTCTAATTTAAATGCCAACTAGTCGCGCTTTTATTTGGCATTTAGAAAAGCAATTAAGTCTACTTTTTGATGATTGTTTATGACCTGTTGGCAATCATTGCCAATTCGCTCTTGTATTAAGCAGGCAAAGCGATTTGACTGCTTCAAATGAATGCTCAAATAAAGCCTCAATTCAATGCCAAAAACGTGCTAATCCTTCGTCTTTGTTCGCTTTTAATGCTTGGGTCCAGTAATATTTGCTAGTAGTAGAGTTTTGTGTTACTTGGCATGTCAACGATTAACCAACATATACATATATTTAAGTTAAAATAATTATTGTAAAGAAAGATATTTAGAAAATTATGTATTTTTATAAAATTCACTTTATCATGCTGTAGAATGAAAACTTGGACGTTTGCAGAAAAATTATATTTAGCTTTTCTTATTAATTAGTTAAGATCTACAAGTGCTTCTGTTTACGGTACTTTATTCTAAAATTCCCTGTATAACTTTATTTCAATATTATATAACATCGTTATAGTCCTTTTTTTTTTAATGGATAATCAAGAGAGCTTACGTAAATACATCTGACTGTGTTACAGAGAGTTGACATTTTTAGAAATACGAACAAAGTAAAGCCTATAACTTTATATCGGCGATTATTTTTTCTTTTATATTTCTTTCAATAAGCCAGACACTGACGAATATATACTACTTATCAAAATAATCCGATTAGCAAGAAATAGTCAATGTTTTTATAAAACTTTGCACATACAGTATGGTTCAAATGAAAGGAATAAATTCACTATAATGGAAGTAGTTGGTTTTTCGAAAAAATGCTCGGACAGGTCAATTTTGTTTACTTAAAGCGCAATTTTTTAAATAAAATTCAATTTTCTCCCACTTCCCATTTTTGGGCAGTGACGTCATTGACAATTTTTTTAAATAGCAGGCCCAATTTTTTTTTCTTGATTTTGATAGATCTTGCAATTTCCTACTCGAAAACATAATATTTGAAATATCTGACATAACAATTTTTTTTTGAAACAAAGTCATTTAAAGATCAGATACATAAATTTTATTTTATTTTGAAACACAATAAATGAATAAAAGATAATTATTTGTAATTAAGTGCTTAATCTAAAAAAATTATAATAAAAAGAATTTAATGACAATTTCACAAATTCTTTTTTATTATTATTAGTATTATTATTATTATTAGTATTATTATTATTTTGTTAGATTAAGCATTTAATTACAAATAATTATCTTTTATTCATTTATTGTGTTCTCAAAATAAAATAAAATTTATGTGTCTGATCTTTAAATGTCTTTTATTAAAAAAAAATTGTTATGTAAGATATTTCAAATATTATGTTTCCGAGTAGGAAATTGCAAGATCTATCAAAATCAAGAAAAAAAAATTGAGGTTACTATTTAAAAAAATTGTCAATGACGTCACTGCCCAAAAAGAGGAAGTGGGGCGAATTTAAATTCTATTTAAAAAATTGCGCTTTGAGTAAATAAAATTGACCTATCCGAGCATTTTTTCGAAAAACCAGCTACTTCTATTATAATGAATTCATTCCTTTCATTTGAACCATACTGATGTACCTACACCGTGTCCCACGTAAAGCGAGCTATACAACTTTATGGAGAATGTAGTATATTACATTACGAGTGTGGAAAATCACTTTTCACACAAGTGATGTACAATATTTTTCCTACGACCACAAAATAATGTCATCAAAAAAATGTAAAACCAAGGTTATTATTACTATAATAATTAAAAAGTATTTAAAAAAATAATCATCAATAATCGTATTTATTCAATTTTCATATTTTCTAAACAAAAAAAAAAAAACTAAAAAAAAAATAAAAAAAAAACAAAACAAAATTTTGCCCCGCCAAGATTTGATCGCGGTCGAAAAATGGCAAAGTTGATAAGTTCGACATCCTAACCACAAAGCACGTATCTTCTAGAGACCCCACGCCAATGTTAAACTTTTAAACCAAATTAGCGCCACCTTGTGTTTGGAGCAGGAACTAAAATGACAATTGACAGATGGCGGCAAATTCAAATTGTAATTTTTAGGAGTAGGTAGTAGTTTTAAATTAAATTTTAAATGATTTCCACATAAATTATTTTATAAAATAAAGTATGGAACTAGTAAGTTCGAAACTTTTATTTTACAAAATAATTAAGGTCGATTATACCAAATTTGAGGAATTAATTTGTTATGAGGGGTGTGATGTGGAGAGTTGGTTTTGCATATTATTATTAAGTAAATATAAGATATATCAATAAATAATAAAATAAAACATTCTTAATATGTTTATTAATAACTTGAATAAATATTGTTAGATAAAAATAAATACAAATGTTAATACATATATTTAACGAATACTTACTTGGAGCAAATCTTTAAAATACCTATCAATAATTTAAATGTGAAGTAGAAACTAGGATATTACATTTTAATAACACTAAAGTAATATATTTTATAAATGTCTTTTTAACCGAGGACAAATTTAATATAGGTATTGTATTTGTATTAAAAAGTGAATCCTTTTAACTATTCATTCAATGATAAATAGGTATTTTCCTTCCAAATACAGATGGTGGTATTACTCTCTTATGTGAAAAATGATTTCGGAATCCAGTCCAGTGATAAATTGATTATCAATTAGTTGTTGTACCCGTTTGTTCTTTTTATGATGCATGGTGAATCAATGAAGTTTTTCTCGAAGTTTTCAACGTAGCACCAAAATTATTGCAAAACACAGTAGGAAATAGAAAAGCAAAACATCACAATTTTTCAAATAACTAAGACGAATCTATAAACAGAAACCAAAACCAAAAGCCAAAGCCAACAAAAAATCACTAAAATCAGACGGAAAAATGAGACTACCCAAAAACATAAATAAATACACGTCATATATTTGGATTCTTTGGTTAAGTTTTTCTCACATGAAGCTTAAAAATGGAGTAAGAAATCATAATTTCACCAGTAGCCCCATCTAGAGTTTGGAGCAAATAGCATAAAAAATGTCAGTTGTCGGTTTTGACCTTGGTCATTCACGTGGAACCGCTATGTGCTTTGTGGTCCTAACCACCTGAGCTAATAGCCCTTGTGTCAATTGAATGATCTAATCGGTTATGTATTTAACCAGAATAAAATTATAAAATTATTTTAATAATAATTGTTAAAGATAAATATCTAGGATCTAATTTACAACAATTTCAATAATTTAACAATCATATCGATTTTAGTATTAATATGGACATTACATAGATCAAAATAGAAATTAGGTGTTTGACATTTTGTGACAACTACTGCGGAAAGTAACATATTCTCACTCGGGTGGAAAGTAAATTCTTATTCATACGCGTGTGATATAGGGCACTTTCCATAGGTCTATATAATGTGATATGTGTCACTTTCGTAAGTGGTCGTAAGAAAAATTAATTTGTATTATCGCCGATTTCTGAGTATACATAATCGAATAAGCTCTTTTAAATTAAAACAAAATCAATTCTTTTCAACTTCCAGTTATACCGGAAACGACCACTAACTTCGTTATTTTAAATAGAATACCGTATATATATTTTTTAATTTCAGATTCAGCATAAAATTCTGTAAACAATAATACCTTATTTGCCTATTTAAATTCTAGCGGATTTACGATTATTCAATTTTTTTCAAAACTTTTTAGTTGCTGGTAGATATTTTTTGTCGTCTATCTCAGGTAGTATTTCTAGCAGATACTTGAAATTTTATCCAGATGTAGTTGATGGAATGTACTTTCTAAAAATATTATTTGTACATCGCTTGTTATTAAAAATAAAATATTTTAGACATGAAAAACTTTTTTATTTTAAATGGAACACCCTGTATATTTTTATCTCATTTTGTTACGAAAATTATTCTGCATCGATCCATAAATAAAATTTTACGCAGCTATATAATATTATTAGTTACAATGTAATTTAGTATGCCGTGGAAATGTACTAAATAACAATCTCAACATGAATTTAAATTGTGTATTTTTTTGCGTTTAAAATACGGATAATATTAAAGAATATACCAACCAAGATAATAATATCGCGGGCGACCTGGCAAAACCTCCTATCTAAATAAACGAATATTTTTGAACCCCATCTTTGCTTGGGATTATATAAAAAGAAAAAAAATAACTGATAATATTAGAGAAATCAAAAAGTTGTTCTAATTTTAAGTACTACAATAATAGTAATTAATGTTAGAAACTAATCAAAAAGCAGATTGTCGTAAAACGAATGCGTATCTTTTGGTAACACCGATTTTAGATCCTGAAGGTGGTTCCATTTTTCTCTTTTAATTTTACATTGGCTTTTTAAAAGTTGTGGGTAGTGATTTATTGGGTCCAAAATCTTTGGTCTTACAGGCAGATCAATATAGTCACTATCGTAGTTTGACTTCACCTGAATTTCCCCGTTGGGGATATACTTCATACATTTAATATCATTGACGACGGGATCATTGGTCTTTTCACCTGGGCGTATCGAAGAATATCGGTGAAACTTGGAATCAGAAAAGTTTTTGAAAAAGTTGTAGTCTAAAATTTGTACATCATAGAGTGTAGGATTTAATCTTGATTCTTTAGTAACGGAAGCGTAATCACTTGGTAAATATATTTCGCGATGACGTAGTTTTCTCTCTATTGTGCTATGAACCGAGTCACACTCCATTTGAGTGTGACCCAGCTCTAAATACTTCTGGTATACAAATATTTGTTGTTTGATGGAAAAGTTTGAAATAGCATTGGACAAAATATTGTTTCTATTCTGAAAGTCACAACCATCAGAATAGATAATAATGGGAAACTTGTCAGGGGTCAAACAATTTTTCTCCAAAAAGTCTATTATGCAAGAAGTAAACGTAGAAGCTTGTAGCTGATTGTTTTGGTCCTCGGAAAACCAGTAGCAAGTTACATCACGAGTGGCCAAATTGTATAAAGTAAAATTGTGACAAAACAGTTTTGTTTTAAAATAGATTTTTCCAGCTGGCAAAAATGGCGATAGTTTGACTGCCTGTAAGTCCATTGTTAATGCCACAATTTTCCCCTTTTCAGCTAATTCTTTATCGGTTGTCTTTGCCTTCCTAGCCTTTTCTTTATTGACTACATGAATTTTCCACTTCCCTTCAGTTTCATTTTTATATTTATACGAAAAAAATGTGTTGCACTGGTCTTTGTTTTGCCGGAAAAGTGAGAGATTTTATTCGTAAAAGACTTTGCTAAATATATTTTTACTCATTGAAGGACGTCCCTGTTCTTTGCAATATTCTTGATAAACTTTGTACAAATCACTTACCGTTTGAAAAGAAGTCTCTAAGTATAACTTTAATGTATCATTGCGGCAGTAATGTGCGGGTAATTTTGGCAATTGTTGAAAGAAATTATTTAGATGTTGATACCCTTCCACGAAACGAGTTTTGACGTAGTTTTTTAAATGAGATCTTGCTACCATACCGTAAGAGCTTCTATTCACCCATTCTTGCACAGTTTTGTAGCCAATATTTAGCGTATTAATAAACATCGTGCGGCACAAGTTTTTCTTCTCCGTTATTCAAAAAGTAAACAAAAGTCCCCTGTCTTCTAGAAGTTTCACTTGACGTCCTTGCAACGTTGTTTTTTAATACATGAGAAGAAACTTTTATGACAGATTTTTTAAATATTAATCATAACTCGTTACTGGAGTCTTATTAGAAAAATCGCCGAGACACATCGATTTTTGATTTCTTCAATGTACATTTTTGTATAGTTTGCCCTTAATTTCATTCCTTACTGGAGGGGAGCAACCCTATCGAAAAATTTAAATGGCATGGGGTGGTGAGTGATAGCTTATTCGAAAGAGGGTTTTATTCTCTATTCAACCGTCCAAAAAAATTTTAAATTTGCTACATTAGTTCTCGACTAATTATTGTTTCATAATAACGGAAACTAACATAGCGCACTTATCCTTAGAATTAAAATTCGGCCCTGCATGATATCGGTTTTGGTTCAGACGTGAAGTAAGACTTTTTGCCATTAGATAAGGTCACCGTTAGTTTAGTTGCTTTCCTATTTGTAATGTTTTGTTATTTTTAAACATTTATAAATCAACACGAAATGAAGCAAATTTCAAAAATTTTTGCATGGTTAAATAGAGAATAAAACCCCCTTTCAAATGAGCTATCACTCACCACCCCATGTCATTTAAATTTTTCGAAAGGGTTGCTCCCCTTCAGTAAGGGATGAAATTAAGGGTAAACTATTTATACAAAAATGTGCATTGTGGAAATCAAAAATCGACGTGTCTCGGCGATTTTCCTAACAAGACTCCAGTAACGAGTGAGTTAGGGGGGTGTAAGACTTATGATGCTCACTGTATATACGGCCTACCGCTAACAGGTCGTAACGGAAACCAGATAGGACCCTAACTAAAGGTTTTTTCGGTTATGAAAATACCCTTCTTAAACCACAGGCTCTACTCGTACACAGGCAAATGATCCCCCAAAACGGGGCAAAGGCCTTCTTACCCAAGACGAACACTGGCCGAAAATGGAAGGCCGACGTCCTTAACTCAAGACGAACACTGGCAGAAATCGTAGATAATTTTTTTAATAATAGACTATTTATAATATATCACCAAAAAAAAACCTTAACGGAAATTACATATTTGACTTATCATGACATATTTGAATTATCAAAACAGAAAGGCAATTTCTCAAACATTCTGAGCTTCGACCAAAAATTCTGACCAATCACATGTTTAGAATTAGAAACACGTCGTAGTATGGTTGCTAAAAAATTGTACGGTCGCTTCATGAAGGTGGTGTCGATTCTCTAAGCCTTCAGCCAACTCATAGAACCACTAATATTCTGACACCCCTGATGTCGTCAAAGACCAAAATTATATACAAACAAACATTGCCACACTTTGGCTACGGAACTAGTTTTAGTTCGGTGATATTAGCAGAGAATGTTAACCTTTTAAAATAAACATATGATATTTATTATAAACAAACCATTTTAAGATAATTAAATGCTAAAGTTATTTACTTATTTTAAACAAAAAACTATTTTCTAGAAGGTAGGTTTATTAAGATTTCTTCCTTTTAATAATATTTTAATTGGTAATAATCAAAGTATTTAACCTATGAAATTGTAAATGCTTCAAATTACCAGTATAGTTTACAATAATTAAAATGTCAAAATTTTAAATGCAGCCACTAAAAATTATTGAAAATACCTTAATAGCGAGATACTCAATATTTGAGGTTTTGTCAAAAATGTATCTACTTCTTGTTTACTAAAAACTTTAGACTTCTTTCCTTTATATCCCACAGATTTTTCTTTAAAAAGGCCAATAACTTCGGGAATTTACTAATATAAATGTCTTTCTTGTTTATTAATATTGTTTTGAGCATTGAATACAAACTCCATACAGTTGATGATTTAAGTGTGTTGGATTTTATAGCTAAATAAGCTAACAAAACATTTATTTACTACCTTTACTTTTTTCTCTTCGCACCATTTTTCGAAAAATGTCCTTGGATTTTTTTGGTAATAATGCATTAGTGGCGGTAGCTGTCACTTCTTTAACTTCGAATGGAATGTTTTCTTCGTCACTTTCATCGCTACTCATCTTTAAATGGCTTAGAAACTTGTTATAATGCATCAAAACGTCAAAAACATCTACTGACAGAAGGCTCCGGTATTGTCATGGCAACTGTGATATTTAACATACCCTTCGAAAATTCTCTCTAGCTAGACGATGGTATTTTGTCTTTAATGAAAATTTTTACATAAGAGCTCGGGAAAGTAGGTACTTTGCCGAGCAGTTACGTCAATTTTCCGATCTAGACCGGCAACGACGCACTTTCCGAGCTAAAAAATGATCGGAAAAACGCATTTTTTAAAGTGGCAGCAAAAAAAATATATTTAAGTACTATTATGAACAAGTGGAACAAAGGCACTAGACTACATAAAATAAATAGCAATCACGATCACAGCAATTAATATCTTTCATAATGACGCGAAGCCGCCCGCTCAACTTATCAAGGTCTAAAATGAAACTGAATGCTGTTTAAAATAGAAATAGTAGCATAAAATAAAAATTTCTTAATAGGTAATAAATTTAAATTAAAAACAAATATGTATAATTAACAATAATTATGATTTGTTACTATTTAAAATATATTAGTCTGCACCATTTATTTGTTGACTTAAAATATTATGCTTTGTTAATAGCTAAATATTCATATATTATTAGTAAGTTTTAAAGTTATATATATGATAATATTTTTTAATATTCAAGTATATTTGTTAATATTTAAATATTGGATGGATAATAAACCATTTATTTTGAATAAATGAGATCAAAGTTTTATATATAACGACAAAATGGTAATAAAAACAAATCTCGTTAATATTAAACATATCACCCATAAATAAATTAGATTGTTAACTATAAAATAATTTTTTTCTCAGTGCACTGTTTACAAAATTTTATGCTGAATCTAAAACTTTAACAAAATATAGGGTTTCATTTAAAATAAAGAAGTTTTTTATATTTAAAATATTTCATTTTTAAAAATAATTACCAAACCAACGATCTGCAAGTAAATATTTCTAAAAACCACATATTATCTACTACCTTTGGTTAAAATTTCATGTATCAAATAGAAATAGTACCTGAGGTATATGATTTAGATATATCGGCGACTAAAAATTTAGAAACAATTGATTAACGCCAAATCCACTAGAATTAGAATGAACAAATGGGGTATCATTGTTTACAGAATTTTATTCTGAATATCAAATTTAAAAAAAATGGGATATTACATTTAAATTAACAAAGTTAATGATCAGTTCCGGTAGGTAGAAGTTTCTAAATATCTCTACAATACATCAGTCGATTATAGGTTGTAATAAATTCCAGAGCATTAATATTACATTACTAAATTTAAATTAAAATCACCATACCAGCTGCGCTAACTTCAAAATGGTTCATTTAAATAACAATAGTAATAATTCGTTTAGATGTCATTACGCACATATGGACTCATTTGAAATACTGTAATGGGAATACTTGTATAATGAGCAATGAACGTTGCAATTCCACTGTATTCATTTATTATGACGCTTTTATTTAGTTTACTAACTCTATCATAAATTTGTCGAGCGAATAATGTGCACTTCACAAATCAATCTTATTTCAGTTGAGATCTATAATAATAATAATAAAGCGTCTTTATTCATCAAGTTTTAGTATAAGTGTAAATATATACATATATAAGGTAGATGAAAAGGTGAAGTTCAGCTTGTGCTGATTTACAACTTAACCTGTAAATAACATTGAAATATAATAATATAATATAATAGAGAAAAAAAAGTATAAAAAATAAACAGATTTTCAAAACCAAATTCGTTGCATTATATAATATATTTTTTATGACCATTGCTTATTGAACAAAGATTCTTTTAGGCGTTTCTTGAAATTAAGCAAGTTATATGATTTAAATTCATTTGTAAGTTTATTGTACTCTTTACATGCAACATACGAAAAACATCTTTTAAATAGAGCCGTGTTATGATTCGGTACCACCAAGGTCATTCGATTCCGCGTAGGAAATTCATTAATATTGGAAAATGTCTTTAATTTGTTAACTAAATAATCAGGTTTCTGTATGAGTAAAACTTTGTGAACTTGGGTTAATAAATGCAAAAGGCGATAGTTATTGAAAGTCAACCAACCTGATTCTTTCATTTTATTCGAGATATGATCAAATTTTCGAATTCCATAGGCGAAACGTAGACAGCTATTCTGAATTTTTTGTAAACGAGCGGAATCGGATTGGAGTAGGGCTGGACCGTAGATGGAATCACAATAACTGAGATTGGAAAAAATGAGAGATTCACAAAGTTTAAGTTTGAGTTGTGTGGAAAGCAGGTCTCGGTTAGGGTACAACTGTCTCAAGACGTTGAACGAGCTTTGAGATATGGTGGAGGTATGTTTACTAAAACGAAGATCAGAATCTAACCAGAGACCTAAGTTTT